TGACTAACTTTAACTGGGGTAGTAATAGTTGAATAGTGCCTGATTTCCGTCTGGTCAAATATGACCCTACCATTTTCCCCGCGTTGGAAATCACTTACGTAAGACGTGCTGTGGCTGTGAGTAGTCGCCCCTGGAATGCGCCACACATCCGACTTTTCTTTAGTATCACGGAGGCGTTTTGATTTGAGGCATACGAGCTTTGAAATAGCTTTCGGATGCTCAGCTGCTTTTCAAGTCTTGAGAAAGTGTGAGCTGCCCTGGTGGCGCGATGATAGCGCACGCTCTCCGTCAACGGGAGATGCTGGTTCGAATCCTGCGTGGCCCTTTCAGAGCGAAAACTGAGGATCCCAACGTACGTCGTGCCCTGCTTTATGCAGCTCAAAACGAAATCTTCGAGTTCTTACTCGATAGAAAGAAGGTTGTATTTGCTCGATGGAGTGTCAGCAAGGTTTACTTGAGAAGCCCAATTTGACACAGTTTGTATCTTCATTGGATTGACATGAAGATGAAAACATACACGAACAACCTGCTAAGAAGGGAAAAGACTACTGGTAGAACAAGAGAAAATTCAGCAGAATGCCGAGTTAAGAGCGCAGAAATTGTCCTCAAAACTAACAAGACTGGAAGCACATATGGTTTATTGCTTTGGGCTCACTGAAGAATTGCAGTTGATTGGGAAAAGCCAGGATCCCGACGAGAAAGTTTTAAAGGTTATGTGAAGGTTTCTAACAAAAATTGCTACTTAGGTGGTTTCAGCAGAAAAGCTTGCAGTAAATTCTTGAATTACCAGTTGTTCTGGTTCAATTGGGAGATTCAGAAAAAGGTTAAAGCAACGAAATTACAGAATATGCACCATATTTACTTGCTATTGTCTAAGAAATAGCGTATATTGCATAGAATAGTTGAACAGCTCAGTAGTGGCACCTTGCTGCTGAATGCACAAAATCACAGTAGGCAGCGGTGGTGGTTGTGATGTTGACGGGCGTTCTCGTTGAATGAAGTAATTTTCATCTGACGACCAGACATAAACGCCGTTACTTCTTTCATCCCATTACAATCGTTCCACCAATCCGTGGTATCCTTTTTATGGGAAGATCGAACGTGTTTACCTGAAAAGATGTGATTTGGGATGACAATTTTGTTGGACTTAAAGTCACATTCCACGGTGATCGTATGGGCAGGGAAAGAGGACTTCCCCATTGGCACTCCACTCCTGCCTTTTCCAGTGGCAGACCTCTGCAAGTAGAGTCTGCTCATGGGTAGGCAGAATAGCATCTGTCTCCGCCCACCCGCTTATCGCAGAATGTGCCTTCAAAAGGCGAAAGTTCTCATATCCATTGCGTTTATTTTAGTTTAGCCCTGCAAGTTTTTTTGCCCCCTCAAAGTCACGAGTGCCTTGCCGTTTCCGCCGCAGTGGTCGTAGAGAAAGTTGGGAATAATGTGGTGAATTTTCTGATACCGCAGAATTATTTAGGGAGCAGGGTAGCCAGGTAGAAGGGGCCTCACTTCGTTTTCAATAGAAGGACTCGAAAAAAGTATGTGTGCCAGTAGTGGCGTTAAAGTTCGAATAACGGACGTTAACTTGAGATCCTGAAGAAAAAAGTGTGTAAGAGGGGACTGAGTATTGTATCACAATTGATCGTGTCCTATCGAAAATCCAATCAATACTAGGAAAGAGCGATTGTTCAGCGAAGAAATTGCTTCGTAAAGGCGCATTCCAAGATAACAGGGTCCAGGGAACAGGGCAAAATTGAAACCAAACATGCTGGATGACGTGCTAGTGAAGGAGAAGGCTAGAGAAACCTCAAAATTGTCTTGTCCAGTGCATTATGAGGAACCAGGACCTATATGGGAAAGCACCAGAATCTGATTCGATAGAACTGAAGGAACTTAAAAGTAGTCGCAAAGGTTTTCATAGCGCATCGTCGGAATGAGACCTAGTCATTTGTAAGTGGTTTTATGCATTGTGTGAATATGCAGCGCGAAAAAATGAACCCCGGCGACAGAGATTTGAAAAAAATGCAA